CCCCAACCTAGAAAGGCAGGCCTATATTCAAATCCAGGAAATTCAGAGAACCCCACAAAGATATTCCTCAAGAAGAGCAACCCCAAGGCACATAATTGTCAGATTTACCAGGGTTGAAATGAAGGAGAAAATGCTAAGGGCAGCCAAAGAGAAAGGTCAGGTTAACCACAAAGGGAAGCCCATCAGACTCACAGCAGATCTCTCAGCAGAGACTCTACAAGCCAGAAGAGAGTGGGGGCCAATATTCAACATCCTTAAAGAAAAGAACTTTCAACCCAGAATTTCATATCCAGCCAAACTAAGCTTCATAAGTGAAGGAAAAATAAAATCCTTTGCAAACAAGCAAGTACTCAGAGATTTCATCACCACCAGGCCTGCTTTACAAGAGCTCCTGAAAGAGGCACTAAACATAGAAAGGAACAACCAGTACCAGCCACTCCAAAAACATACCAAACTGTAAAGAGCATCAACACAATGAAGAAACTGCATCAACTAACGGGCAAAACAGCCAGCTAGTATCAAAATGGCAGGATCAAATTCATGTTTTCAGTCTTCTTAAATTGGTTAAGACTTATTTTGTAGTCTAATGTTTCAGTTCATTGAAATGTTAGCTATATATTTGTGAGGTGTATTTGGTCTATAGTGTTAAGTCTGCTGGGTCCTTATTTTCTGTCTGGATGACTTATATGTTGTTGAAAGTGAGATGTGGAATTTCTTCATTATTGTATTGCCATCTGTCTCCCTTCAAATCTGATAATATTTGCCTTATGTACTCATGTGCTTCAATGTTGACATTGATTGTTATGATGAGAGGTTTGACAATGGAAATTGGTAGAAACCTTCATCATCTCTGCTGTTTCCCCTGTCTCTGGTCTCATCTACAGCACTGGCACATCCTCATGAGATAGTTAAGATGTGAATATCATTCTTGTTTTACCATAAAGGAATAAGAATAGGAAAAAATTAACATGTTCAAGGTTACACCATGAATTTTAGGAATACATCCCTGCTGCTTAATTCCCATTTAGTGTTCTGATACACACTAAACTACTCTTTATCTCACTTCAATTGCTATCTCAAATTATATTGGTAAGCCCATACTCCACATTCTGCTTTCACTGGGGGGAATAGAGATTGACAGGCTATCTATCATCCATCTTTGCTTTAGAATGAAATGTGACTTTTATGTAACTATAGTAATATATGTATGCCATAAAAATGCCTTGCAGTCTCAAAATGCTACAAATAGGAAATGAAGACTAATGTGCAAAAAGAAAAAGAAAAAACAAAGAGAAAATCAAGGTAACTCAGTCATCAGGGAAGGGAGCTAATACTCAGACCAAGCTAGATTTGACCCCAAATCTAAGGATTTTTTAAATCAGATAGAAACAAACATGTTAAAGCCAAGGATCCTATGTTCTGACATCTTTTCCCTGTCTCCAAAATTTCTGCCATGTGTGACCAATTAGCACAGTTGGCTAGAACATGGTGCTAATAAGGCCAAGGTCAGTGGTTCAAATCCCGTATGGGCTGAAACTCGATGCTTCCAGCAGACACAGACCATCTAAATCACATTTGGGCCCCTGCCAAGGGCATCATATTGGTCATAAATGCAGTTGAGAAAACCTTACTAAATCATAGTAACTCCATCTACCCTATTGGAATAATTCAAACACATGCCATACTGATGGTGTGACTATAGACATGAATAAAAAACAACATTGTTATTAGCAGAATAAATTAGTAATTTTGCTTACACTTTAAATTTTAAATGTACTCTTTGTGGCCCAATAGAGCCATGACTTTATTTTTGAAAGCTCATGCGTGTAGAGATACTAAAATTTCAAGATGTTGAATGACGTGTGCAATAATACCTCAATTACTTAAACTCATCAGGAAATGAGTTATTTTGTATATACAAGTTATGTTCAGATATAGAAGTGTCTGCTTAGCACCAAGTCATGTTCATATTAGATATTTTGATGAAAATATTTCTAAATAAAATTCACATTTTTATGCCTCTCAAATAGGAGAAAGAAAACATTAAAAAAAAAGTCAAGGGGAAATTAATAGAATAAAATATTTCAGTGATGTGTGGAAAAGGAAGTAAACTTCTCTGGCCCCTGAAAGACTAAGCTAGAACCTAAGCTAGGAAGTTGGAGGCAGACAGAACCTAAGGAAAAAAATATTTTGATTACCGTCAAAGCCTAATCCTGGAACAGAATTCTTTGGGCAATAGTATATTTTCTATTGCACTTTGCAACAGTGCAAACCTATGTCCAAGCTCTGTTCTCCTCTTAAACTTTATTTCAGTGTTCATTGAACAGTGAGGCTAAACATAAACATTTAGGGATGTAGTAGAAGACACTCATGAGTTGCATGGGGATTGGAGCCGATGACCACTAAGCTTCATTCTAGTTCTAGCATCCTGTAAGAGAACACTATGTGACTGATCATAGCAGCATTGTTCCTAACGGCCAAAAAGTGGAAATAAGTCAAATGTCCATCATCGAATGAATGGCTAAATAAAATGTAGTATTCACACAATGGAATATTATTCAGAAATAATAATGAAATACTGATACATGCTACAGCATGAATGAACCTTGAAAACATTACACTAAGTAAAAGAAGCCAACCATAAAAGACTACAAAAAAAAAAAAGAAAATTTTATATCCATGTAGAAAACTCTTTATTAGCTAAGTTCCCAGATGTCAGCTTAGGGTCAACCTAGCAAGCAGGACTTTCTAAGGCTAGACAAGCTCAGGCCTGCTACATTAACTCTTTTCAGCACAAAAGGTCACAAGAAGAAAGAAGTTCATAATTTGTCTGGTAAAGAACATTGCCTTCTATTTTGAGTATGAGATTCTAAGTGAAAAAGACATCCATATTTTATTTAATATGTTAATTTATTTGATGTATGCTTGTGATATGACAGATTTATCAAATCACAAGAGCCAAAACTGGTCTAAGTGTATACTGTGGCTGAGGCATTAAAGCTGAGAATAAACAGCTGCAAAACCCTCCCCCCGCAAAAAAAACTGCACTTCCATAAATTTTTATTTACCCTCTACAACACATTCTGAAATGCATTATACTATGGTTTCACTTTATAGCAATTTAAGGCGGAAAGATGGAAGCTAGAAGAAGAGGATAAAGAAAACAATGAAAGATGTCAAAGGGCCAGGAGCAGTGGCTCCCCGTACTTTGAGAGGCCAAGGCAGGTGGATCACTTGAGCTCAGGAGTATAAGACCAGCCTGGGCAGCAGGGCAAAACCCCATCTCTAATGAAAATACAAAAAAGTTAGTCAGGCATGGTGGTGCCTACCTTTAGTCCCAGCTACTTAGGTGGCTGAGATCAAGGCCTGAGGGAGAATTGCTTGAGCCTGAGAGGCAGAGGTTAGTGAGCCAGTGAGCCGAGATTGCACCATCACACTCCAGCGAGGGTGACAGAGGAAGACCTCCACCCCCCCAAAAAAGACATAAAGGAGGCATAAGAGGAGAAAGGAGGAAAGGAAGTGAAAGGAGAATAACTCAGAAGTAGAGAAATATAGAGAGATAAAAAGAAGGAAATGCAGGGAAGAAGTCAGAAGTCCTGATGTAAACTAATTTTTAAACAATCTAATGTGTACTGAGCTGCATGGTGTCAAAGTGTCTAATCACTGCCCTTTGAAATATTTACCAGATGCTTAATCTGTAAATGAAACAGTCACTATCAGAATATTTTTTTCAGAGCTAAATATAATAACTGAAACCAGTGACACCTCCCAAGGTCACTGGCAAAGGTCAGATGAAACCAAGCCAGACCTAAACGAGGTAAGAGAGGTTCCCTGCTTCACCAAGAATTGAGTATACTAAATGCACACTTTAAGCAAAGAAGCATTTCCTTTGCATTACCCTCAACTCTTCATCCTTCTGCTTGCCCCATATATCTAGAACACAAGGTTTTGGTGAGAAAATCCCCACTTGGGCTGTCTATATCTTGTATGGCTTTACAGATATTCCACATACCTGTCCTTGGCCTTTATCCTTCCAGTCTGCAGTCCTGGGTCATTTCATTTATTTAGTGATGTCTGTGTACCATGTAATTTTTATAAGCGCTATGAAGTAGCTATGATTGTTGCCTTTATTCAACAGATCTGTACTTTGAGATGAAGAGGTTAAATAACTTGCCTAAGGTCACCCAATAAGTGGTAAAGCCAGGATCAGAGCTCAGACTGTCTGACTCTAAAACCCAGTCACTAGTCCTCTCCTTACTTCATTCTGAGCTCTTCCTCTTTCTTTCCCTGTCTGACATCATGCCACCTGGAATGTCAGCCCTTCACTGAAATCATTGGGGATGTTCTTCAAGCTCTTCTTTATAAAACCTTCCTGCACTGAATGAAGTTAGCATATAAACTTCCTTTTCCACATGATAATGGCCAGAAGTCCACACATCTGAGGACAAAGTCTATACTGACTTGGTTCTGATGTCAGTGCTTGCCATGTGAATTATATCTGTTCTTAGAAGAAGCAGTATTGTACTGAGTGCCATGTTCTCTCTCCAAGTGTCGGTCTGAGTTTATGTTTTTAATTGTAGACTGAAATTCCTAGAGATCATCAATTCTGTCTAGCTTATGTGGCATGTAAAACAATTCCCTTAAGGAAACACAAACCATGTGGTTAAGAGAGAAATTACAGATAACTAAGAGAGGAGAGATCATTACTTCCCCAAAAACTATTCCAGCCATATGTGGGCCCTCATCCAAATGGTGGATGCCCATATACACGTTCCTAAGAACAATGAGTGTGGAGGGGGGAATGGAATTTAAATTTACATTAGGCTTCTAAGTGAAGTATTTGTATTAGTTAGGGAATTTTAAGTGGTAAAATTACCTTCTTATAATCTTGGAAGAACTTGGAGCATTCCATATTAAGTTAAAGAATCCCCGACCCATCTGTCTCCTAGCTGCGTAAGCAACTAAGAGGATTTGCTGACTTGGACTTTTCTCTTTTCCAGATCCTGGCCATTGTGTCTATCCTGTTCATCGTGCTTTCCACCATTGCTTTGTCTCTCAACACGCTGCCAGAGCTTCAGGAAACAGATGAATTTGGACAACCTAATGACAATCGCCAATTAGCACACGTGGAGGCTGTGTGTATTGCATGGTTTACCATGGAGTACTTGTTGCGATTCTTATCCTCACCAAACAAATGGAAGTTCTTTAAAGGTCCACTGAATGTCATTGATTTGCTGGCCATCTTGCCATACTATGTCACCATTTTTCTCACTGAGTCCAATAAGAGTGTGCTGCAGTTCCAAAATGTGAGGCGCGTGGTCCAGATCTTCCGAATCATGCGCATCCTCAGGATCCTGAAACTCGCCCGGCATTCAACAGGCCTGCAGTCTCTGGGTTTCACCCTTAGGCGGAGTTACAATGAACTGGGCTTGTTGATATTGTTTCTGGCCATGGGGATAATGATATTTTCCAGCCTGGTATTTTTTGCTGAGAAGGATGAAGATGCTACCAAGTTCACCAGTATCCCTGCATCATTTTGGTGGGCCACCATCACCATGACCACTGTTGGTTATGGTGACATTTACCCTAAAACGTTACTAGGGAAAATTGTGGGAGGCCTGTGCTGTATTGCTGGGGTTCTGGTTATTGCCCTTCCTATCCCGATTATTGTGAACAATTTTTCTGAGTTTTACAAGGAGCAGAAACGCCAAGAGAAAGCAATTAAAAGGAGAGAGGCTCTCGAGCGGGCCAAAAGGAACGGAAGCATTGTTTCTATGAACTTAAAAGATGCCTTTGCTCGAAGTATGGAACTGATAGATGTGGCTGTCGAGAAGGCTGGAGAGTCCACCAATACGAAGGACTCCACTGACGATAATCACCTGTCTCCAAGCCGGTGGAAGTGGGCCAGAAAGGCTCTGTCGGAAACAAGCTCCAACAAGTCTTTCGAGAATAAGTACCAGGAGGTTAGCCAAAAAGACTCCCACGAGCAGCTGAATAACATGTCTTCCTCCAGCCCACAGCATCTGAGTGCCCAGAAACTAGAGATGCTGTACAATGAAATCACCAAGACACAGCCTCATTCTCACCCAAACCCAGACTGCCAAGAAAAGCCTGAGAGGCCATCTGCTTATGAAGAAGAGATTGAAATGGAAGAAGTGGTGTGTCCGCAGGAGCAGCTGGCCGTGGCACAGACTGAGGTCATCGTGGACATGAAGAGCACCTCCAGCATTGACAGCTTTACCAGCTGTGCCACCGACTTCACAGAGACGGAGAAATCACCCCTGCCACCGCCCTCCGCCTCTCACTTGCAGATGAAGTTCCCAACCGACTTCCCAGGGACAGAAGAGCACCAAAGAGCTAGGGGCCCCCCATTTCTAACTCTATCCAGAGAGAAAGGGCCTGCTGCCAGGGATGGCACGCTGGAGTATACCCCAGTTGACATAACTGTGAACCTCAATGCCAGTGGTTCCCAGTGTGGGCCACACAGTCCTTTGCAGTCTGACAATGCCACTGACAGTCCTAAGAGCTCTCTAAAAGGCAGCAACCCACTAAAGTCCAGATCCCTCAAAGTGAACTTTAAAGAAAATAGAGGCAGTGCACCACAGACCCCACCCAGCACAGCCAGGCCACTGCCAGTCACAACAGCTAACTTTTCGCTCACCACCCCACAGCACATCAGTACCATCCTCTTAGAAGAAACCCCCTCCCAAGGAGACAGACCCTTGCTGGGTGCTGAGGTCTCAGCACCTTGTCAGGGACCTTCCAAAGGGCTGTCCCCCAGGTTTCCCAAGCAGAAACTGTTCCCTTTCTCTTCAAGAGAGAGGAGGAGCTTCACTGAAATAGATACTGGTGAAGACGAAGACTTCTTAGAGCTCCCAGGGGCAAGGGAGGAGAAACAGGTGGACTCCAGCCCAAATTGCTTTGCAGATAAGCCTAGTGATGGGAGAGACCCTTTAAGAGAAGAGGGCAGCATGGGCTCTTCCTCCCCACAGGACACAGGTCACAACTGTAGGCAAGACATTTACCATGCTGTGAGTGATGTCAAAAAGGACAGTAGTCAAGAAGGGTGCAAGATGGAAAACCACTTGTTTGCCCCAGAAATTCATTCCAATCCAGGAGACACAGGTTATTGCCCCACACGTGAAACCAGCATGTGACTAGTTACAAAAGCAATAAATCAAAAAAAAAAAAAAAAAAAAAAAAAAAAAAAACTCTTGTTTCTTAAAAATGCAGTTAATAATGCCTGTGAACTAAAAAAATGGGAAGCCCTCCCCAGAAAAGTACATAAAATGTTATTTTTGCATGGCATGAACAGTTTAGCTTAAGTACTGTTTAAATAAAGAATCAAGACTGCATTTTGTAACAAACCAACAAAAATGACTGAAGAACGGTGAACAAATAAAAAGAGCTCTATTAGGAACCAGTATTCTGCAATGTCTGACATTTTTGATCCTTTCATTTCAAAGTGTAGGCCGATTTTCAAGTTTTAACTTTTATGTTACGATGAAGTTTAGAATTTTCACATGAAAGGATGAAATGTCATTGCATGCATTCACAATTATGAGGAATAAGGTACTGTGAGCTTGCAAAATGCATAACTTTATAAATATTGAGGCCTGGATGCGAAAGTGTCACGAACACATGGAAACAAGTTTCTGAAACACAGGTATTTCCTTCACAACTACTGCCTGGAGGAGCTGTACAGACTTCCTGTTGCAAAATTGCAACCTCTCCTTAAACCATCTTGAATATCTTGCTTTGAGTTATGAAGCTCTTATAAGTACATTTGTTTAAAGGAATACAGTATTTTTTATTTACTTGTGATATAATTCATAGAGTACATTTTACTTTTTTGCTTCTGCTTAGTTTTGGCATTTGTGGTTTCATTTGTAAATCATAGACATGGGCAAGATTTAATGACCAGATATCAAAATATTTAAAATTTAAGTCTGAAATTTTACCAACAAGTTATATATCATGCCACAGCCTATTACAAAAATGTATTTTTTTAAAAAAACCTGAACTTATTTAAAAGGTTATATCATACAATTAAATGTTTTTCATGGCAGTCTACATTTGGAAATTAGTTATTTTTAAAAATGTATTTTGGCCACCTAAAGATGATGTATTTTTCATTTGAATCCAATATAACATAACCTTTTCTAACTAAAGTTCTTAAAATAGAATGCAGATATGCCAAAATGGAAACTCCAAAAAGTGACTTGACAAACTAAAAGCAGAGTCATTTAAGTCAGGTTTCCACCACCACTCAGAGTTAGCTGGGAAATGAGTAACCATGAAAAGAGCCTGGGAGTGGTAATAGGTCACCCAATATTTCTCAACATGGGATGCAAGGTTGGGGGACACTGCAATGTGTGGGAGGAAGTTGTTCCTTTTGCAGGATATGAATTACAGAACCCAGATCACAGATGGCAGTCACACCCTCCTATAATTACAGCAACTAGAAATATCCCTTTCCAGGGGGTGATTGGGACTCTCTGTGTTCAAAGTGACTTTCAGCGTTTTTTACTGGGAATAGTGAAATCCAGAGAAGTGAAGGCACTGACCAGAGACTGCCTTGTTGATGAAGTCTGTGCTAGAACTCAGGTCATCTTAATTCACTTTGCTTCATAAGAATCAAGGTTCTGGTCCAGATTTGCAACTACCAGATGTGTGATTCTAGGCAAGCCTGTACAACCTCTCTTGGTCTCAGTTTTGCCCCAGTAAAAATCAAAACAAAATTATTTCCAAGCTCCCATAAGACCTCAAATTAATGATTACTTGGTCTCCCAGGAAGGTCCAGATTTTGCCTCAGCCTAATGCACTTTGTATGTGTGTGCGTGTGTGTGTGTGTAAAATTCAGGGAAACAGATGCTGGGCCAAATTTAAAGCACAATTTATTGTTGAAAGAAAAAAATTCTATATTTTATTTTTAAGAGGGAAAAATAGCCCAAATATTTAGACTCTTATTTAAGGCTTTAAAGAAAAACATTTCTTTATTACCAGGATCTGGTCATTATATCTCAGATAAGAAAACAAGTTTTGATCTTAGTTGAAACCCAGGCAGACCTATTGCTAAAATAATTTTAAACATTTCTTTTTTCACTGTGCTTAGAATTTCTTAGTAGTTTTCATGTTTGTTTCAAAAAACCGTTAAGAGTATATGGTCATTAACTGTTGGTATTTACATTACTCATTTCAGTGTCTAAAGCTAAATATTGATCAGTTTTGTAAATAGAGTGTTTGAATTTTCTATCTATAGTTTTTCAAGGTCAAACAGGTATATCTGCTGTTAGATGATTAGCAAATAATTTATGAAAATCATTTTCTTAACATAGCCTCATAAAGCAATTATTTTCAAACATCTCTTATTGCTGAATCTCAACTCTTTTTATTCACCTTTCTGTATAAGTGAACTTGTCTTAATGCGCTGAGAGTTGACTGATGCCACCTTTCCTGTGTCTGCTAGGCCTTCTGCTGAGAAAACTGCTCCAGAATGTTTAATATTGGAAAACTTGCCTAGCAAAGAATCCTAGACATTCCTCCCTAGAAGCATCCTCCCCAAAATATTTTTTCCCTTCATTCTAAGGTAATTTTTTAAGTTTTAAAGAGTTTTCTAGTACAACCCATGGTAAGCTTATCCTTCCATTTTTCTTAGTTCCTCTGACCCAAAAGTCATCAGCTAGGAAAAAAAGAAAATGCTCCTCTAAAAGACATCTTGGACTTTGGTGTTTTACAAGGAGGCAGTGTGGGGACTGAAGGCTCCCAGGATGCACTTGTGTAGCACTTCCCAAGACTTTTCTACAAACTGCACCTAATGCAGAAAATAAACGTGTGCCTGGAATGGTCTGGGAATGTCCCAAGCACAGAGTTTTTTCTAAGTCTTATGTTTTACATTAAAAGGTCATGTAAATGCTGCATTTTACTTCATAATTTTATATACTCCATATGTTTAAATATTTTAAAAATAATTTTATATTATTTACCAACTGGTAAAATGGATACTCTTATAACTTTAAATATGTCTTTTGTACCCCCTGGAAAAATAGATCCCCAGTTTGAGATATGCTGCATGAATGACAGGAACAGAGATTGGTTCCCTGAGGGCCACCGGAGGTTTCTGCTGCTGAGAGTGCTCACTCCTTGTTACAAGTGAGGATTATTTGAATGACCACAAAATAACTCAGTTTCATGTATGGCTATTTTAATTCTTCTGAGTCTCTTAACAACCAGCACAAATTGCCACAATATTATTTGAGGTCAAAGATAGAGTCCAATCCTACGAGGATAGAAATGGGTGCATCAATGTGTGTCCTGAGTCAGACCACACATACACACATATGCTAAGTTGGTGCCTGAAATTGACTTGATTTGTCTCTAAACGTTTTTACTAGAAATTTCTCAACTGTGACACAAATCAACTGCTTTGAAGCAAGCATTTGATCAAGTATTGTCCTGATATGACTAGATTTGGTAACAAGGAGAATATATGCCAAGTGTCTGTTCCCATTAATTTCTTGTCAAAACAGTCTTACTCTCATTGACATTGTCCTAGGAAAGTCAAAAATTCAACTATTTTCTCTTGAAGTTAGAAGAGAAAAAAAAAAGCCATATGTATGTAGAGTACTTATAGTTTCTTATCTCACAACAGTCTTTTGAATATGCAGTAAAGGACCAGAGGGGTTATACATTTTGCTCAATTTCACACACATCACTGGTGAATAGTAGAACTTGGCCTCATCCATGTCATCTGGCTTCAAGTCTGGCATTCTAATATACCACATGAAAGTATTAGGCTTGGTTTTTTCCCCAGTAATACCCAAAATATGTAAATAAAACTGGAGGTGCATTTATAGTCACACAGTTTGTTTAAAGCACCAGTAGATCATGCCATATGGTAAGGACATGAAAGAACTGATATTAACCATCTTTTGCATATATGTCTGCCAATTTGGAATTCTGACCGTAAGATACACATCCCTGTTTAAAGAAAATAATTCATTGTTCTTGATATCACATGACATACTCATTAAGCAGAGGGCTGCAGGAAGCCACTTAATCTGAAGCAAAAGCAAATAGAGCTTTAGAAATACTAATAAGTTCAAAAATATTGTATAATTGAATTTGATAATTATTCAAGTGTTCATTCATTCAGATACTAGTTAAGCATCCCTGTATGTGCTAGGGTACAATCCCTGGCTTCATGGAGCTTACTGCCTTGTCCCACTTAAAACCAAGCTGAGGATTTGAGTTGCTGGAAAATGTCTTTTCCGAGGATTGAAAAATCACTCAATTATCAAGCCAGAGAAGCATACAACAGGAACAAATGAAATGATTTTCCAAAGAACTGTTTTCCTAAAAAGTAGATGGATGACATAAAGTCTGATCTATAATTATTTTTGAATCACAGTTTGGATTTCACACTTGAAATAACAAATTGTTACTCTGATTGAGTGAGGTTATGGGTTGTCTTTCCTTATTATCTGATACAATAAAAAATAATTTTTAATTAGATATATTGCTTGTAAAAATAGCTAATTATAGTCTGTAACAAATCACTAGAGAAAAATTTATTACTGGTGGAAAAGTCTGTTAAAAAGTTTATGTTATAATAGTGTGCTTGATAGTTATATTATTAAAAGCAAAGCATTTTAATGCTTTTTTTTTACTTCCTATTTACTATGGGCAACATTTTAGGGATATCTCATTAATCTTTGCTTCATCTCTAAATTTCTAAATGTAAGATTTTTTAAATTCAGTATTAAAAACTACTTAGTTTGACTCAAGGTGTTTAGTCTCTAGGTCCATGTGGATTTTGCCACTGCATTGTCCTCTCCCAAAACAGAACTTTAAAAAGAAGAAGAAAGAAGAAGAAGGAGAAGAAGGAGAAGAAGAAGGATGAAGAAAGAAGGAGAAGAAGGAGAAGGAGAGAAGGAGAAGAAGAAAAAAGAAGAGAGGAAGGAAAAAAGAAAGCCACAAAATCTAAATTAAAACGGAAACGTTTAAAGGCCCGTCCCTACTAAGAAAAAGGAAAGGTCCCAACTCCAAAATCTTGGTGAACACCTCATATTGTTCAGTTCGGCATTTATTGTGACATAAATGCTATCTTTTAGTGGTTTCAATGACCATTTCTTCTACTTTTTTAAAACAGCCTAAGTTAATTTCATAAATCCGTATTTACTGTATTCTCTTCCTTATTAAGTCCAAAGGGATCTTAACCTATAAATACACATATAAATAAAGGGAAGTGGGACATTCTCTTTAATAATAAAGTCACCCAAGGCCAGCCAGAGATACACGTAGAAAGAAAAAGAACGACTACGAAAAATGTAAGAAAATTAAATATGTTTTAAGCAGAGAAATTTATGTTAGGTATAGGCATGCATAAAGTTTAGACTAAATACTTATTATTTACAGAAAATTTAGAATTACGGTCATAATTACAATTCTACTTTCTCTCCTGAAGAAATTATTTATCATCTGACAGATATTTCCAGATTGCTGTTAATAAATATCTTATTAAACAAATATGTATTGAGGTTCTCCCATGTGCCCAAAATTAAGTACAGTTCATTCCCTCAAGTTTACAGTCTAGCAGAGGTTTCATATTTAAGAGGTTATATTTCCAAGTAAAATCTAATTCCAGTGGATTACAGTGAGCTAATAATAGTATGACAGTAGATTTGAGTTTGTTGTTGGAGAATGTCTGTAACTCCCTTCTATTTTCCTTCAGACTGAAGTTATTTTTTTTTCCATTCTCTAATCTAGAATCTGAATTTCCACCGCATAGGGTTTCTAAACACCCAGGCTTTAAATTGCAGTAGCTGTCTGAAATCTAGTGACAATGTATTTGAACGAAGACATTTCCCACTTCGGCAGAATAGGATTCTAGCCAAAAATGACTTTGAAAATGATCGTTTTATACTCCATAACTGTTCTATTTGACTTTTTTTTAAATCCTAGGCTGTATGCTGAACTAGATGCCACCTCCAGCTGCTGATTTTATGAAAGCCCAACGCCCACCTGAGCAATGTTTATCTTCCCTCCATGGCGGGCAGTGCTGGCCAATAATATGGCTACATAGTTTTTCTTTTAAATTATTTTTACTCCATTTCAAACTAAAACAGATTCAGGATGGCCTACCAAATACTTAAAATAGACTTTTAAAATCAAGACCCAGGGAAACTGACACGGAATAGTAAGGACAGAGGCAGAGTGGAAAGGTACGGTTTCAGAGAGGACGTCATGGGCGCTCCGCCGACCGGCTGGTTATTCCCTGTATCGAGTGCCCTCTGCTGGTCAGTCTGAGAGAAGGTGGAACTGTACAGGCCAAGAAAGGATGCCTTAACCAGGAGTTGAAAACCACCTTCAGTTTTCCACCTTCAGTTTCCCTGCATATAGCCAAAACCACAGTTGCATCCCAGGCATTGTTTTTTCAGTGATTACATCTCAGGTTTTTTATTCTTATTCCAAAATATTTGATAAAACTGTTGCTACCCTTTGCACGGCACTTTCAGAGTATTCCTACCTCCTAAATAAAAACAAAATCACAAGTGTAGCTAAATGTCTAGCAGTACCCTAGTCTACACTTGGGATACACAGAAAATGCTATTTTGGCCTTTATGCCGTTAGTGAGAAGTAAGATAAGAACTCAAATTTGTGGGTTTAAAAAGATTATGGATCTGTAGTGACAAGTGTATTTGGGTTGACTCACCCCAAAACCCACCATGTCCATTTTACTTGAAGATTACAAGTAGAGCCTGAAATACCCCTGAATTGACTCTTGAAAAAAAAAAGGTGGTTTTCTAAAATCCCCACAGACATCTGTGTGTGCTGGCCAGAAATTCTACTACAGCCAGATTTCCAATCCATCTTTAAAGCAGCATGCTTCTAACATTCGTATTTGTGTATGGCTTAGGCTATGTTTTCAACCTGTAAATTGTACTCACATCATAATGTTTAATGAAAATTAGAAAGATTTTTGTAAGGAAAACACATACACAGAAAGAAATATGTATTGATATTACCCAAATTACTTATCCAACAAAATGCTATCACTAGAATTAATTGATAAAAATGTACATATTCTATGAAAATCTCACTAAAGAATTGGCAAAAATATTCCTGTTAAGATTTAGCTCAAAACCAAAGAAAAGGGGAAAAGAAAAACATGCAACTTACAAAAACTAGTGTGTGACACTCTCCTGTCACATAATAGCCAAGTTCCAAACTTATGCAATTTTAAAGAGATATGATATTAAACCATAAATAATTCAGGGAATGCATAAAGAAGGTTTATTAAGCAAATAGGAGGTACCATTAACACATTGCCGCATTTTTAATAACCTTTAACTACATAGCGGCTATGTTTGCTTTTAGCACCTTGATTTCGATCTGCAGTCTTTCTGTTTCATACTGTTACTTGTGTGTTTGCTTACTTGCTTTGTTTTGTTTGGAGAAGTGAGGGTAGGTGGAAGAAAATGTTTAAAGGGGAATATTATTGGGCAACTTATTAATATTACCTAGTGTACCCTGGAGTATAATAGAAACCATGTAGACATGCCTCGGCCATCCCTCTCCCTTCTGCTTTTTTGTCAAGTTTTGCTATCCTGGTTTGGAAACAGATTCTTGAGATCAAATTTCCGATCCTGCTAATTAAGATTTTTCATTACTCTCCTGTCTGCATTACCCCCAGCAATCCTTCTCTAGGATCTGCCTGAGCAGAGTGTATCAGGTACCAAGTCAAAGTGAAGACCAAATGAGCCATTAGCAATCACAACTTGAAGCCCAAAGCCAAGAGAAACAGGAGGATGTCCCAGCAGTCAGAAAACATAGCGAGGCCTAAGGACAAAGGAACTGTCTATACAGTATAATAATATGACTTGACCAACAAAACAATGACACAGTGCTTTCCCCCGTGATGGACCAAAAAAAAGTACAGTACTTTTTAAGCCTCTATTAAGTTCTTTAATTTCAAAGGTACACAGCTGGCTTGATGAGAAAGGTGGTCCCTAATTCATGACTTTGTCACAAAGTTTTAGGCATCTCCATTAAATTTGTGTGTGTAACAGGTTGTTCATGTGCCTGTCTTCAGGGCGGCATACAAAAAGGGAAATATCAGTATAACCCTTTTAATCATTTTCCATGGGAACAAATACTTCAGTCAGGGAAAACTGATATTGCTCTGGTAGTTTTTTTATGGTTCTGGGCCAAAAAAATCTGTAATGGCAATTTAAGCAAAACTTTAGAAAAGGTTCTAAGAATAAAAAGCTCTATTGAAAACTTATACTTTGCTATACATTCAATTACAACTAATTTGCATTTGGATCAGTATTTTTTAATTCTTTCATATAAAAATCGTTTTAGGTGATCCTTTGAAATTAATGTTTATTTTCTTATAAATATAGATTTTTTTTCAATGGCATAAATAAGATGATATATAGTAAAATGACTGGCAAATAGGAGATATGGATTTTCTTTTTTAAAAGTATTTCAGAAGAAATTATTTGATCCACATTAGTATGCTAATGACTTAGTCTTCTAAAATTCTTCTGTGGCTTCCTAAACAGTCAAAATTTGACATATGTATATGAGTAGAACTCACTGTTACATAAAATGGAGGGCATTTTACCTGCTAAATTATACATATTATACACATGTATGATTATATATTATACATATTACACATATGTATAATATAATTATAAGTATATATATTATACACATGTATAATGTATATAATTATGCATATATTATATAAATTATACATACACACATTATCTACCAACCCATGTGGCTTTACAAAAACATTGACATTATTTGGACAAACAACATTCTGTTAAAACTAGATACTGCATTTCTTTTACCTAATTGCCTTAACTTTTTAATGTTTAAGAGACAAATATGAATTTCTTCAGAAGGAAGAAATTCCTTGTCCATTTCTTCTACAATTTGTTTTTTTTTTTTATGGACATAGGGTCTTGCTATGTTGCCCAGGCTGGTCTCAAACTCCTGGCCTCAAGCAATCCTCCTGCCTCAGCCTACCAAAGTGTTGGGATTACAGGTGTGAGCCACTGCAGCTGGCCCTTAAAATAATTAAGACTTCAAATATGCTATCTATTTGAGGAGTCTTTTACAGTCTCCTTATTACCACAAATTTGAATATACTTAGTCATTATGTGACTATTCAACAAACTGGTTCATCTTTCTGATTTAAGTATTTGTACACCTCAGGATGTATTTCATAAAGTAATTCATAACCACTTTGGTTCTAGATTTACTATAATTGGCTATCTGCCAGAATAAACTATAAAATGAGAATAGAAGATTATGGTGTCAAAACTTTTTCTTCATTAAATTTTCTTTTGACGATGTAGTCTAAATTGTTATCTGTATAGATTTAATCAGAGACTTTTTAACTTTTTTAATGTTAATCTTATTGATCAAGAAAGGTAACAGAGAGGGAGGCTCATTTTCTATTCCGATTTATTTAAATGCCAGATCATATAACTTTAGACAGGGCCCTTATTTTCTGCGAAAGGAGTGGAGCTGGGTGATGACCAAGGACTACATATAATGTAACAAGCACACTGTACACTGTATAGTCCTCACACTGTCTAAATGCAACTACCCAACCAAAGCAGATGGGCACTGTGGAATGAGGGTGCAGACGACACTAATATTAAAGATAGGCTAACTTGGAAATTCTTGCATTGAAACTGCAAAGGAATTTCCAAATACACTGAAATTTCACCTTTAAAGTATCTGCTAGCCATCTTTAGTAAAAGGAAAACAATATCTTGATTTTAATGAAGTTTTATTGTTTGGTTGATTTTTGAGTGATTATTTGGGGTTTTTTTTTTTTGTTTGGTT